CTTCATTACGGTTTTTCATTATGGTTCTTAATTAGGCAGCTTATTAAATACTTATACTTATCTGGCTGCGTGTATGATTTAGGTTTAACTGCTATATACAGATTGCCCCAGCCTATCCCTGCTTGGCCATTTTTTTATCCATTGACTTACGTCAATTTGAATTAATATTATTAACTAAATAAAGAAATTAATAAATATCTTTTTTTTTATTATATTACTTGATTTACTCCAAACTAATTTACACTAGTGGGCTAATTGCTAATTACGTTTTCTTTCATAATACGATTGCGTAGTACATAGCACCACATTATGAGGCTTTTAAGTTGACTTGACTTTGTGGAAATGAATGCTATACATAAAAATAATCAATTTGTAATTTTCTTGTTTTCTTACTATATATAGGCTAGCAGGTTTTTAGTTTAAAAAAACATTATTATCACTGCCAAATTGCCAGTACGTAGATACTATTATTAAATTTTAACAGTCGATCGAAATGTCACATCTAATTTTTTATGATTTTCATAAATTATATAAATCAAGTGGCGATCACCCAAATTTTATAGTAAAAAATTTAATCACCTGATCTGTATGATATCTCGATTGACCGACTGTTAAGTTTGGGGGTCGCGAATACCCCTTGAACATATTCATAAACTTTGAACATGTTCATGAACCTGAACAAGTTCATAAATCTGAATGCATTGATTGGACAAAATTAATAACATGATATCTTTTTTGATAATCGTTTAATATACTAATAATACTTCCTTTTTCTTTTCTTCGTTGAATTCAGAATCTGAAATTAGGAATGTGATAGGTGCTTTTAATATACTGTTATTTTTTTCTTTAAATAAAGCTAACACTTTTTGTGCATGTCTTGCTTTACTGAGTCTTCTTCGGGCTTTACTTTATTGGATCTTGCTTCATCAGATTTCGTTAGGTCTTGCTTTGTAGGGTTTGATTTTGTTGAATCTTGCTTCATCAGGTTTGATTTTGTTGGGTCTTGCTTTGTCGTGTTTAGTTTTTTGGGCTTGTTTCATCGGGTCTTACTTTATTGGTCTTCGTTAGTTTTTACTTTGGTTTTTCTTCATCAGATCTTGCTTCGTCAGATCTTTGTCGATCTAACTTGCTTCGTTGGGTCTTACCTTGTTCATCGGGTCTTGCTTTATCGTGTCTTGTACTATTGGATCTTACTTTGTTAGGTGCTGTATTTTGTTGGGTCTTGTATTTTGTAATCTTACATTTCGTTGAGTCTTGCATTTTGTTGGTTTTTTGTTAGCTAAATTAGGGTTTAAAGTATGTTAAAGTTTAGAACAGGATTTAAAGATAAAATATATTAAGTCTAGA